CCTTGGAGCCATTCCAGGCCAGGTTGGACGGGGCGCTGAGCACCCTGATCCAGCTGAAGATGTCCCTGCTCACTGCAGGAAGCTGGGCTAGATGGCCTCTAAGTGTCCCTTCCAACACAAAGCATTCTGTGATTCCAAGTGTCCCCAGGCAAGAAGGCGACCAGGCACCTGCACAGGCACGCACCCATCTCTGCTGGGCTACTGCGGCGAGGAGGCCACAGCTTCTGCCACCCACAGCGCGGAGGCACAGAAACCCTGGGGGAAAGGCCCAATGCAATCTGTTTGGCACTGCCTCTCAGCTGGGCCGTCCTCAGAGACGAGAGCTGGGCTAGGGCTTCCCTACGCTGACCTGTGTGTTTATGGGGAAGTCCTGCGACAAAACACCCAACTGTTTTTTTATGGACAACGGATTTGAATTCTGTGTTCACAGCACAAACACAGGTAGGCGATAGCACCCCCCCCCACTTCAATTTGGGGTTTATGTTTCGAGCTAACCGACCCCCCTCGCTCGCTGGCGCTGCCACAGCCCTGAGCAAACAGAAACGCAGCGCCTACGCCGAGACCAACAGCTCGGGCAGGCGCAGGGAGCAGAAGCACTGGCTGCAAGGGGGGGCTCCAGAGCTCCGCCGGCCCGAGCCAGTGCCTCTGGCTCCCGGAGCTGCCTTCGAACGGCCGAGGGGAAGGCGCAGCAGCTCCCAGGACCGCGACTCCCCTTGCTGCAGGGGGAGAGGAGCAGCAGAGTGGGCTATGGACCTGGAAACAGAGAGATACCAGCGTGTTCAGCAATTCCTGCGCTTAGATCCATCAAAGTTACCGTTAAATGACTTCTCCCTGCATCCACCCAAAACAAGGGTAACATAGAGCAGAGTTTAACCAGACCAGGCTTCCCTTTGTGAAAAACATCATATTCAGGACCATCGTCTTGTTCTCTGGGACAACATATCAAACCACAGGCAATGAGAACAGAGAATCTTTTTTTCCAGCTTTATTTTTTTTTCTCCTGTGAAAACGCAGGTCAAAAATGTTAATTTCAAGAAATCACAGTTTTATAAAGTGTCATTCGTTCAACACAAGCTAGTCATTCCACCGCCCTCACCACGCCAGTACTGCCCATCCCAGAGATTACCAGCTCCGTATCACTTCACCAATGGTGATTTTTCCAGACTTTCGGGAGGAGCTACACGACAAGAGCCATCTGTGTTTGTCCCTCCTACTGCTATTTGTCCTTCCTACCCTGAACTGGGGTTCTGTCCTAAAGACTAGTTATGTTCTTATATATGGATAACAAAAACCTTTCCTGACTTTCTCTTCTGTCAGTATTGCACAGCCAGCCTTGATCTGGAAGCTGGACTTTTTATGCTCGTCGCTGCAAAAATGACCAGTCAAATTAAGAGGGAAGTGTCCTGGCAGCAGGAGAGAGTCGAGGAGATCCCAAGCTGGTAGGCAGCAAAACCACGAAACCCCTGGAGATACCCCCGAGAGGAGAGCCACGTCTCAGGACGGTAAGAAAGCAGCAGTGGTTTGTGGTGTCAGCCGAAGCGTCTGTCCCACGTGGCAGGGACTGCTGCCGCCACAGCCCGCTCGTCTGGCTGGCTGTCACGTAAAAGAACTGCTCGGTGGAAATCTGCAGCCTCTCTTTGTCACTTGAGGGGGCAGCAAAAGAGGAGGGAAGGTTTTGGACAAAACAAACAGGGAGATACTGGCTAATGCTGGTGTGAGGGTACAGGAGAACATGGAATTCTCCATCTACCCAGCAAAGACATTCGGGGTTCGCCAGGGTTTACTGCCTTTCACCCACTCTGGAGGTGGCCTGAGGTTACCGTTAATGCTGTAGATGAAGTGTAAAGCTCAGAAGTCCCGTAAACAGCGGGCTGCTGCACCCCGCCCTGCTGCTCGGCAGAACTTCAGTCTAACACCACGGTGCAAAACTGTACACCTGTACATCGAAGCATTTTGCAAACAGTGAAAGCCACGAGATGCAGCCTTTGGGAAGGGAACAGACCACGCTTTTGTATTGACACATCACCAACAGACTCTTCTTAGAAACAACCAACAGGTTTTTCTCCTCTCCCCCTCAGACGAAGCCTAGGAAGGGGCCAGGCGTGGGGAGATCGGTCGGTGCACTGAATACGTGCTTGGGAGCTCCTGGGAAGGCATTTTGGTCCCTCCTGCTCCAGAGCCTACAATTCTTAGCAGTTTATGGTATCTGAAAAAAACGAAAATCGAGCCAACCTACCCATTCCCCCCACTCCTTCCTGGAAGAGACATGCGTAATGTGTTAATTGTTTACTAAAAAGGCTCTTCATGTGGCATTTCAGCTATAATTAGGTGTCTATTTTGGACAACGTATTAAGTGCTTCAGAACAAAAAGT